ATATTCCTAATTTTCAATGTTGTTTAATTACGTCTGAATGAGGTCATAGGTCCTGGCGCACAATATTGCTAATATTGCTCTTCGAGAAGGGGTATTTGGGGTAAGAACATAAAACGTTCAATCTCAAACTATTTCAAGAGTGACTTATGAACCATTATTAGCCTCCGACTTTATGAAGTTTTTATAATTTCAACATTTTTGTGAATTTATCTAATTTCAGACATTTATAGTAGGCATGCCACACGGTTCGGTTCTAATCGGAACCGAACTTGGAAATCCGAACTGGACTGTAGACGAATCGAAATCGGCATCGAAACCGACGGTTTTAAGGGCCGGGTAAGATTCATGTGAATGTTAAAAAAATTGACACCTGAACCGCGGTTAACCGGCAGTTTCGTCCGGGATTCGAAATCAGGATCACAAACAAAAATTATTTGTTGAATAATACTTAATTTATAAAAGTAGTGGAAAAAAAAAAAACATCATCATTTTTAGTTTAAAAAAAAAGGAAAGCATCATCATTTTCACTTTTTTTTTTAAAAGCTCATCAACCCTTTGAACTTTTTTTTACACAATATCTATTTAACATATACAATTAAACAATTACACAAGGTTAAAGTTCAAACGGCTATAATTGTTTTATTATAATTTAATATATATTATTTATTTATTATAATTTACTAAATTATCCAAAAAATATATTTGTTTTTTTTCGTTATAAGGACAATTTGGGAAAATAACATAAATGAAAAATATGTAAAATATGATGCGTTGATGTTTTTTTTTTCAACAACCAATTATATTCTATCTCTCCTCTTCTTAAATTGCCTTTATTGTCATATATACCAATTCTAAATTCCATTTATTCATTTTTTCCATTAATTTCATTTAAAATTATGGCACACAATTCACAAAGCTCCAAGGGAAAGCGAGTTGCTCAAAAGTGTGGAAGGAAATTGCATTCCAAATGATCCATTGATTGATTTTTCACCCGACAAGAAGCCAATATACCTCCTAATATTTCAATAGTTAAACCACCAAAATCAAATATTTTCAAGAAGCACTTTGCAAAAATTGTTTAAGATAATGGAGAAATAAATGCGGTTCGGATGTAATTATTGCAAAAAAGAATATGCATTCAAGCTTGGAGGAGGATATGACACTCTCAATAGGCATTTAAAATGACATCATCCAAGTGAGGTAGAATGGAGTTGTAACGGCAAACTCAATTATCGTTTCATCAAGTATGGTGATCCTAACACTCCCCTATTTAAAATATAGTATGAAAACTATAAAAATGAAATGGCTTAAAATGGTTGTATTGGAACGATTATCTTTTTCATTTGGTGAAAAAAAATTGGATTTAATAACTACATTGTAAAAAAACATTAAATCCTTTAGCAAAAAAAGATATCTACGAATACACGTAAAAGCGGACTATTTATCTTATTTATTTAAAAAGAAAAAAATAAAATTTTTAAAAAATTTATTTGCAAATTTTAATGTAAAATTGCCATTTTGTTGTGATATTTGTGTTGATGCTTGACAACTCATTCTTGATATGGGGTGTTACATCCCATTGGATTGATAATGAATGGAAACTTGAAAAAAGAATTAGTGCACTTAGAGTTTTTGATGACTCTCCCACCGCGCATTAATAATTTTACCCAAATGTTAAATATTATTTAGAAGAATATGAGGTTTGGACTAACAATATTTTTAGCAATTCTTGTGTTGATTAATGCCAGTGCAAATACCGCATCAATAAATGAATTAAAAACTCTTTGTCAAACCTAAATTTGGGGTGGACAGTTTTTTCACACTAGATGGCATGTCAATACTTTGAAAATTTTATGTGTTCAAAGATGCATTAACAACATTTAAATGTATTTTTACGGTTCCAATGAAAAAATGATTTAAATCATTTAGGACACATGGATATGTTAGAAAAGAATTTAAAAAATTTTTGTCACTCTATGGGAAAAAAAAGATAAAAAATTCAAAGATATTCCTACAAGATGGAATTCCAACTTATAAAATGTTAAATAAGTCTTATGAATATTAAAGATATTCTTTATCTTTATGCAATTTCATGCATCATTTTTCAACTTTATCCAATCAATCGGACATTTGTAAAAAATATTAGATATTTTGGCAAGTTTTGAAAAATTGTACGAGAATTTTTAGTGTTTGTTTATTATTTTACCCCCATTTATTTCCATTTTCATTGTTTTGGCCATAAGTAGTTTACCATAATTGAAAATGAAAATGATTGATGATTTACAAGAATATATATCATGATTAAAAATATTATACTGAAAAATTCCGATTTAAATTTAGATTTGCAGTTTTTCTTGTCCGAAGATTTAAAATTAGTTTGCATTATAAAATTTTTCATCTTTATATCGGATATTTTTGAATATCGAGGCATATTATCTTTTCCCTTAACTAATAAGGTTTTAAGGTATGTCCGTCAATTGTATGAGAGTATCTAAATTAGTATCTCCCATTCCTCAAGATCAGATCCACAATCTACATAATCCACTAAATTTCATTCTACACAATTTACCTTCATGCAAAATGTTTCAAAAATCAAGGGAGGCGTCCCACATTCATACACAGAAATTGAGACATATATTAGCACAAGATTTTGAGTTTTTAGGTTGATGATGCGAATGAAAGACCCAAACAAAATTTGATATTTGGTTGGGTGGAAAAAGTATGCAAATCGCCTTTCAACAGTCTTAGCTTTCAATTGCAAAGATGATTCTTGCTTAATCCAAATTTCTACTGTCTGCAGCGAAACAAGCTTTAGTGCGGGTTGGACAAATCTTTAGATCCAAACACGGTCAAGATTATCCGCCAAATAATGTGAAAATGCAAGAGTGTGTTAACGATTAGACAGAGCGGCGTTGAGAACTCAAGGACCAGCAAAATTCAGCGACGATATGATTTCGACTCATTAACGAGACTAGTGCACCTCACTAAAATTAATTGTTTAATAATTGAGAGGTATTTTCCAATGTAATTAAAAAAAAAGGAACTATATGGGGCTCTTGATTTTCTCTAATTTTTCAAGAGGATACGTAGCAATTAAATTAAAAATTTGTTCAATTTTAATTTAATTCAAGGGCCCAAAATAAAAAAAATTATATTAATTTCTATATTAGGTAAGTTAAGCAAAATTTGTGAATTAATGTAATAATAGTTCAAATTAATAGAAGTTTTTTGTTTTTAAAATTTATAATAATTATTTAGTTAATAAATTAAAAACATTTTAAAAATTATTAAAATTTTTATTCATGAATTCGAAATCAAAATTTATTTATTTTTTTAAAAAATTTTGCGTAATTGCCGAAACTGAATCGGAAACCGTAATTTGAACCCAGATCCGGGTTTCACCGAAACCCATGCTGAACCGTGCCGAAACCGGAACCGGAGGTTCAAGGGCCGGTTCCGGTTTCAAAATTTTAAATATCTCGAACCGACGGGTTTTCAATGACCCGAAAAACCGGCGGTCATGGAACCGGCCATGCCTATTTTTATAGCTAAATAAAATTACAATTTTATTTTTGAAAAAATAATTCAAAAGAGTTATTATTTATCATTTAAATAAATTAACTGACTAGTTGCTACTATAGAAATTTATATCTTTTGTCAAGATCAACTGTAAGCGGACAAATCTATATTATATTATATATATTTTTTTATATTTAGTTTCATTATTAAAAAAAAATTCTATTTTGTTAAAAAATAAATGAAATCTATTAGCTACAGTAGAAGCTTCTGCGTCGGATACTGAGTATTGGGTAATTCTTAATATTGTTATTAATGAATTATAATTTTCAAAAAAAATTAATTACATATTATTTCATATTATTTATATTTTAAGTATACAAAAAATCATAATAATATAATTTTTGGATTAAACCAAATTAGCATCTAAATTATTCATTTAATAAAAAAATAAAAAAGGAAACTTTTTTAATTTAATTATTTTGCAACATATTCTCCAAATATTATATTCTAAATCTATAAAATTGTGTGAGTCATGTAAATATAATTTTGATATCTAAGTGACATCTAAAAATTTTATTTTTTATTATTTTTTTAGAAAGAAAATGAAAATATATTTTTGTTTTGCAATTCCCATCGCTTAAATTGGTGCCACTTGCCTACAAAAGGTTTAAATTAAGGTTAAAATTTGATAAAAATGTCCAAAAACAAAATAAAATTATAAAAATATGTAAAAATTAGGAATATTTTGATACAGTTAAGCCTCTTAAAAACCAGCAAACTTGTAGATTAAATTCAATTCATGAAGGTTAACCTTATTTAATATTTTTAAAAAATAAATATTCTATTAGGTCTTTCAGGTTTAATTTTTATTATTATGAATTAATATATTTCAAAGGCTTCACTAAAGAAAAAGACCAAATACATAAATTCATGTAAACTGTGAATAATTATCATGTAACTTGAATTTGTAAATTTTGCATAGCATTAGTAAACAATAGTTAGTAGTATTGAGGATTTTGATTTTGATTGCACGTCAACATAACTTTTTTGAACAATAATTTTCCACATTTTCTAAAAATTTAATAAGGCGTTTAGTTAATCTAATTTTTCTTAAATTAAAGTTGCCCAATAAGATAATTTATATACAAGATTGAAATATCAATAGATAGAATCTTACAAGTTCAAGTGTTTGATGAGTCAAAATAAAGATTTGATATCATAAAATTAGAATAACAGAGTGTAAGAGTATATATTCAGCCTTAAAGAAAAGGTAATGGAGAGAAAGAAAAGCGGCTGAAGTAATGTACTAAGTTCCAAAAACAATCTACACGCATTGAAGTTTTTGGCATCCATTAAGTAAACTTGAATCCAACAGCTTTCTTCTTGGCAAATTTTCCCACGAAAAAATTCGATTTCCGAAGACATAATAAAAACCTATAAAAGTGCTTAATGAACTTTTACAAAAATCGAGATTAGTCTTATAAATTACATATTATTTGTACACCCTTTCTATATTTGTACACATTGGTAGAATCAATCAAAAGTTATGGCTTTCCTGAAATTGGGAGGACATGCCAATAATGGACAATCTAATGATGTAATCAGGTTGATTTGTGGAACTACTGATGGATGCTGAATTTGGAAGCTGCCAAGCCAAAAATGTAGATCTTTTTATTGGGTGTCTTATAAAGATTGGTGAGCAAAGGTTGAAATTAAACATGGCACTGAAAATAAATAGACTTGCAGAAAACAAGATAGAAGGGACAAATAAGCTATCTGTGGATGACAAATTGGACTAAGATGACTGTGTTTTTGACACGGAAGAAATTAAAACTCAGCAAAAATTCTGGCAATAAAGGAAAAAAAGCATAGATGAATATTTGCACAGGGGTGATTCAGGCATTCGCGAAGTGACATGGCATTCAGGGTCCTACTGGATAATTATTTTAACACCAATGAGAAGAAAATTGTTCTGCGTATATTTACCTGAAATACAATGACAATGATGACTCAACTGGAGGGTGGATTCGCATTTTGGATTCTGGAGGATAGTAGTGACCAAACACTGAAATTTTGCAATTCCCAACAGCTTTCTTATTAGAGAAACCAAGAATGATAATGACAAGTCCCGTTAGTTTTTATCCACTTTCTACCTGAGGGGCGCAAAAGCTTGCTTTATCAAAAGGGACACTTTTTGAGACATTTAGCCAACTAAGAGTTTTTTAACTTTCCAGAAGGCTATGTCGATTTTCCTCAAAAAATAAACAGCAAGAAAAAAAAAAAAAAAAAAAAGGAAAGGCTTTCCATTAAATTTTTTGTGCGAAAACTTACTGAATAAGTAGAGAAAAAATTCTCTAAAATTATCATATTGAAAAGTTTCAACGGATTATTTTCCAGAGCAGGAAGATATTGCCTAAACAAAATGCGTGCCTTTCCAGAAAAGGCAAAAAAAAAAAAAAAAAAAAAGGAAAGGCTTCCATTAAATTTTTGTGGAAACTTACTGAATAAGTAGAAAAATTCTCTAAATATCATATTGAAAAGTTCACGGATTATTTTCCAGAGCAGGAAGATATGCTAAACAAAATGCGTGCCTTTCCAGAAAAGGCCCACTTATAGGCTTATGAAATGACCAAACAAGTACCTGACTGTTCTCGATGACCTTTGAAATCAGAGCAAAACAGAATATTCTGCATGGAGAAATGTACACAATTTCAGTAGATAAATTTATTTTTCATAATAGACATCAATAATTCTGTGAAGTCGTGGATTATAAATATGTTCCAGCAGAAATCTTGAATGCAGTCGTGCAAACTCACCTCTTCCATACTTTCAGAAACAGTTTGAACTGCCTCTGCAGGAAATAAGTGTTACAGTTAGAAACAGCAGAAATGAGAGAGAGAATCTAACTACTCAGAGAAAGAGGATAAATGATGAACATCAAATTGCAAGGTCTATTGATATAGTAACTTAAGCAAACTGCTGGACAAGGCACACATTATATCTTATTAAAGAGGGAATAGAAAATATAATTCTCATCTTCCCAGTGAATATATAAATGACTTAAAAAGAGGAACATCTACTCTGCCGGCAAGAAAGGGGGATGTAGGACGCATTTACAAGTAAAGTACTTAAAAATGACAGCACTGAGAACATTTCCATTAAGAAAGAAGAGACGGGCAGACAGAGCAGAACTTTTATCATGCCCCATCAATATAACTGTGTTATCCATCATATTAGAGCAGGAAGCAATTTATGGTTAGTTACTTACCTAAGTTTGAAATACTGGGCTTCACAGCCAATGTCAAGCCAAGAAAACAGTCATCAGATTCAGCACCAAAATCCCACAGATTTAACTCCAGATTTGGCTTTGCTCCTGCTGAATAGTACAAGATGAAAATAGTTCATAAAAACTCAAACTAATCTAAATCTGCAATCTAGAACTTCAGAAAAACTCACCTATATTATTTAGCTTCAGTTCAAGGGGATCTCGGATAGGATAAGGAATCCACATGCCCACCTATACAATAAACATTACTAAACTGATTTCATGTGAAAATAAAGCACAAATCCGATGAGGGAGCATAGAATTACATGGAAAAATGGATGTTGCAGCGATTGATCAGCAGTTGGCCTCTTTAATGGGTCCCATGAACATAATTGCTTTGAAAAAGCAAGCCGACGCACACAGAAATCAAAATTCAGAAAACCATTTCAATTAAAAGTCACTTGGCAAAACTAGTGGAAGCATATTGCATCAACACTCACCATAATCAAATCAATGGCTTCTATGCTCGCATTTGGAATTATTTCAGAGAGGTTGGCAGGTGAAATCTACCAAGAATAACAATGAAAAGAAAATGAATAAAAATAGGGACAATAAGCCTAAAATCCAAGCATAAAAGACAGAATAAAGCAGTAATCATTCATAGATTAGCTTGCCTCTGAATAACAAATATTCATCAATCGAGCGATATTTGTTGCTCCAGGGAATGTAGTCCTATCAGGTGTACCGAGAATACAGCATATCTTGTACAATTGATCTATTTCACTGCCCACGGGAAATTCATTTCATATGGTGAAATTCAATAAGAACTGACAGTTTTCAGGAACATATACGTGAGCTAACAGAACAACAAATTTGCAATTCATGGAAAGAAACTTACCTCACTGTACAAGCATATAGGTTACCAGATATTATAATTTATAAGAATTGTAAGTCTATATATCTCTTCATCAACAATGTAATTTCATCAATAGTGAGACAGAAATTTTACCCACAAGTATAATTCAATTACTTTCTGACTTAGCATATAACAGAAAGAAAAAATGATGTACAAGATTGACATAACTTCCTTAACATCAAGATGAAAAATGGCAATGCTTCCACCCTAATGTAATTTTTAATAGAAAACCATTTACTTTATTAGAGATATCTATTTTTGTTATTTGATCAACATCAATGCACAAACAAATTATGTCAAATTATAAGCAGCAGATTGATTGAACATTGTGTGTTAGAATGTTCCTGTTTAACTAGGGGCAAAAAAGAAAAAGTATGTTCAAGTTCTAGAACACAACAGAGGATGAAATCTTCCTGGCCCATGAATTACCATGTAATTATGGCAGCATATTTATGTGTGTGTTGTGGTGGTGGTTGTGGTTGGGGGTTAGAGGAAGAATGGACTTCCGTATAACATAATAATATTTATTTGCATCTTAAACACCAAAGATATGCAATTAAAGATAATAATGAATCACCTTTCACCAGGGAAAATAGGGGACAGAGTGAATAGCTCAGCTAGTATTGTGCCAACTGCCCACATATCTGCATATAATTTGTCTCCAGTGTTAAAAATCAATTGAAGGAAACCTAACAATAAATGGCCTATAAAAACACTGTATAAAAAGTAGGGGCATTACAGAATAATGAATATCAACTTGTTTTCACCTTGCAGTAATGATAAACATCATTACAAATTTATTAGATTGTCTTTAAATTCTATTTTTAGAGCTCTACCGGAAAACATGAAATGAAAACCTTTCCTGAAAGAAGCACATATAATGATTTTGGAAACCACAGCCTATAACAACTATTAAAAGAAAACGAGAACTTCTTTGCATTGGTCAAATGCAGCTTAAGAATTCGCATTTCTATAAACCCAAAAGAAAAGAAGATAGAAATCCTTAAGCAATAAATCATCTTATTGAAGAAAAACAAATTCATTAGAAACATACCAATTGGAAGACCAAGTTCTGTCAATTTTGTTGAGAGGAGAAAACAAATAAAGGTTTAAGATTTATGGGTGAAAGAGTTGGCAAAGGATGGGAAAAAAGAAACAAACCAACTGCAGGAGTATATGTTGAGGACTGCAACAAAACTTCCGGAGCCCGGTACCTGGCAACATACTCGAACAAGATAAAACGTGAAATAAAGGGTACTAAAATAATAAGTTTCTGGCATACACAAATACAAGCACTCAACAGATGAGACAAAATTCACCATTTACAGATAGACTTACCACCGTGTGGAAACATATTCAGTATAAGGAGGCACTGATGAAACTTCTCTAGCCAGTCCAAAGTCAGCAATTTTAAGAACATCATTAGTCACCAGCAAATTCTCTGTAGGTGAAAATGTCTTTGGTTATGAATTTTCTTTCTCAAATTAATTAACTCCTCTAAGGAGATTAAAAAAGCAACTCAAACTAGAAAATGATAAAAATGTAGATGGAAGAAAGAACTAATATTTTACCAGGTTTTAGATCTCGATGGAAAAATCCATTCCTGTGCATATGAGCAAGTCCTTGCAGCAACTGTGACATAAAGTTTCGTATCTCTTCCTCTGTAAAAGATCGTTCTCGTTCTCTCATGATTTGGTACAGATTATATTCCTGGTTCAATAAGTCCAGAATCAAGAAATTGACAATTAATGAGCAGTCAATTATCTATTCGCAGTTTCAAAGCATGATATTCCTATCCATGAAAAAGGAAAGTGAACTAGTATTTATATCTCAGATGATTGTATTTGAGATAGTATCTAAACAACTAATGGATAGAAATTGGAATATAAGAATTCATATGGTTTCCATCCTTATTTTGAGAATTAAGACTTAGTTGAACATCAATCAAGGATCACATCAAAATAATGTTTAAGCATGATACAGCACCATGTACCATGCTTTAGAGTCACTTTTCCCATAATCATCATGATACACTATTATTTAGTTGACAGGCTGTGATTCTCCTGGCATTCCAAATACAACTATAATATGTCCATCAAGAGTAGCATGAAATTGGAAGACAGGATCACTCACCATGTATTCAAAAATGAAAAATAGCTCATTGTATTCCCTGACAACCTCCTTTAACTTTATGATATTGGGGTGATTCAGTTTACGAAGGGCCTGCAGAAGATAACACAAGTTTGTTAGTTTGTTGAGCATATAATATTAGATTTGATTATACGAAGTCTAGCAACACAGGTACCTTTACTTCTCTCAAGTTCATGCATTCTTCCCAAAAATAGAACTTCCTCTTCATTCTCTTCACAGCAACCTAAGATCAAAGGAAACAACAATAATATAAGTGACCGAACTAGAACCATGAGGTAAACCATTTTTTCCTTAACTGTATAACACACTGCAAACTTTTATTTCTCCTTTTCTTTCCCCCCCTAGCTTAGCTGTAAACATAATATAATTTCAAAGCAGAAAAGTAGAGAAATTAGATGAGCTCATTACGGTTGTTTGACATGCTATCTGCAACACCTAGATTCAAAATTCCGTTTATTGTTTGATTGAGTTTTACAGTTCACACTCATTTCCTTGTAGAAATTTTATTGGATGGTAGAAACAACATCCTGATAAGTCGCCAATCTGAAATGCTTTAGCACACACTTTAATTGAGCAGGAACAATAAAAAAAAATTGTTACATACAGGGAACTGGAGGGAAACGAGAGAGGAAAAGAGAGAGTCCTTTGTTAATTGTACAAATTCTTGACTGAAAAATCATAAAAGACTATTCAACCGATGCCCTCTACGAGATATCAATAAAATAACCAAGATGTAACAACCACAATACCCACTAGCTCGGTTTATGAGGCCCTAAAGTATTATTTTCCTTTTGCTATAACTATCTATACATTTCCCCTTAACCTTCTCTCTCTCTCACACACATGTCATTTGCAACCAAAGTTAGAATACATGATTTCTTTCCTTTCTCATTCTATTTGTATATTTTGATTGCTTACTTATATTTCTTGGTTCACTGGATAATTTTATAAATTCTCAAGCTGAAAATTTCAATTTGAAAACAAAAAAGCAGCATTTGGCAAATAGCAATCGGATCATGAGTCTCTTATGCATCTCACATGTGTTAAAGAGCTGGGAATTCTCACTTTAAACTGCAATTGGTTAGTTGTCAGGTTTCGAATTTGTAATTAGATAGAAACAGTCTTTCTAGTCAGTAGTCAGTACAAAAGATGAATCTGAGTTCACATAGTTACTACTAGAGTACGTGCAAGCAAGCTTACATTTTACCTGAATTAGTAAAAAGTTAGATCATACCAAAAAGACTATCTAAATGATTTTCCTTCTATTTTAGGAAATAAAAATTTCAAGTGATAAGTTTGAATGAATTAAAAATATTAATTAGAAATGAAAAATTAAAAATCCAAGTATATGAAAACTGAAAAGGTCGTTACTGCAAATGGTTCCTTACAATTTCATATGTTTCCAGATTGATAGCCTTAAAAACACTGCCACAAGTACCATCACCAAGTTCCTCCAAAATTTTATATCTGAGAAGAAAATGATAAGAAATTATGCCAAAAGTAGCATAAGCAACAGAGAAGAAGAGTAATGCTGTATAATCAATTGAGTAGCCGAGGTACTGACCTTTCCATTATTAGAAATGTAGAAGATGACAATCAAAAATTTGTCAATGAACTTCTAAGGACCTCCTAATAGAGGTGTCTACTCTGTCCACAGAGTACGAGTTACTAGTTTGCATATGCTGTTTAGTGCTAAACTGTAGCTTGTTATATACAACATTGAAAGAAACCCAATTCTCATTGTAGAAGTAATTGAATATCAGCCAATATATTATCAACATGCTTAAATGCAGCTTCTACAAGCTGCAACAAGCTAGAATCATCTATGATCACTATTAGACCTCTGTACAAGAAATGTCAAGTTAGCATGTCAATCTCTCTTTAAATTTATGTCCAGGAATGCCCATCTGTCAAAAACTTGAGCTGAGCTGCAAACAAATAGGAAAAGTGAAAAAAAAAATTAATAAAGTTCTAGCAAACCAAATCTTACAAATGAAAACTTAAAAAAAAAGTGCAATTAACTGAATAATTATGTAGCTGGATCTACCACTTTTTCAGTTTTATTTGATTGCTAATGAACCCAAAATACAAAATATGGAAAACCCACCTTAATTATCAAGCCTATCAAAAATACAAGAAGAATACATTATATTACCTGCTATTTATATCAAAACCACAAGAAATGTATTTGCAGTTCCAAGAAAAATCACCGGAAGCAAATTTCTTGCTTTTTTTATTTGTCCCATTTAACAGAAAAATCCACATATAGATCCAAATCCAATTCATCTCCAACAAATTATTGCTGCTTACTTAAACAAGCAAAGAACAATGTTTAACTACTATATGTCTACACCAGCAAAAGAAGAATAATAAAACATCTTTAATTCCTCAATGGAAAATTATTCTTTTAATTGAAACCAAAAAAAAAAGAAAAATTGAACACCCAAAAGCATAATTTATTTATCAATCATAATTAAAACAGTAATGAAAATTACATATCACAACCACCTAAAAAGCATCTTAAGAGGTTAATTTTCGATTAATTGCTGAAAACTTCAAAATCTTCCAAAGAAACATCTAAAGCTGTAAACATCTTACCAACCAAGCCTCTCCAAGTAAGTCTAATTCAGCAATTGGTTTCATCTAGTTAAACTATATATTATTTTCATTCTTTCAACTAAAACAAGATAACAGAAGAACTTCTACTATCATTTACTGTCTTCCCATCCGCTTCAGCTTTCTTGGGAACCAAACAAATCTGACACTCAAAAATCAAACTACATTTTGGCTTGCAAGAAAAGTTGCAGCTCTAGAAAACGGAAAAAAGAGCTACAAACTCAAAATTCACAAAATTATACACTAAAAAGGAAAAATGGAAGGACAGAAATAAGCAAAACTCACCATTTGATGCCTAACAAAAAACACCAGAGATCTAAGAACTAATATGCATCTCCAATGCGTTAACGATTTCGTCAAAAACAAAGAGCAAGAATTTGAGAAAAAAAGAGGAGAGAGAGAGAGAGAGAGAGAATTAGATTACTGGCTAAACCATTAGAAGGGATTCCGCAGAAGAAGCAAAGAAGAAAAAACCAAAGAAATATTAGAATATATGAATATTTGTTATTATTCTGAAAAAAAAAAATGTTGATGATTATTTTAATACGTGTATTTTTTTTCCAATTTTTTATTTTAAAATGAGAAACGAAGAAATGCTTGGTTGTGGTGGGGGAGGAGATGGTCCCCATATTGATATGGTACTACTTTTGAAGTTGAATGACTAAAATGTCCCTTAAAGTCTTTAATATTCGGAGAATCCTTTTTTATATTGACGAATATGCCCGGAGTAGATAGGCCTTGTTTGGTGACGTAACAGTTGTTAAGTATGATTGGGATGTGATGGGACTTAAGCGCCATAAAGGAAAAGAGTTTGGGCTCTTCTGAGATTTCGCTACTGCCCTTGGTTTTTAACCTTTTATTTTTAGGCTTGGCGTGTGGTGTAGTTGATGCGGTTCGATATTAAGCGCGTGATACTCCGGTCTGGACCATAAACCGGTTTATTTTACCTTAGATTGGAAGCTTTACTTTGTTCGTTCAATGAGAACACAAAGCATCTATGTTTTCATACCTTAAGGCTGACACGTGTAAGGGAGAGGATAAGGATGAGTCTTGCTTTATTCAATCTTGTTCAAAAAGGTTGTCATTTTGCTTAAACCAATGAGGTTGACTTCGTCCTTAAGAGACGGAATATTCCAATAACAGTACTATTATTTTTTCATCAATTATGCGAAATTAGGATATGTTTTAGGATACTAATCTCCATGTCCGTATATTATTATAAATACTTAATTTTCTTTCCTCAATTTTTTTAATTTTTTTTTATTTATTGAAAACTCAACGGATTGAAAAAATATTACGATTGAGTTGATTTTTTTATATTTATTAAAAGATAAAGGTCTGAAAACATATATTAAACTAAGAAAAATTTTTATAATAAAAAAGTCTTTGACTTGCGATTTTTCATTTACCTTGTAAATAAAAAGAAAAATCAAATCAAACATAATTGATTATAAAATTTTAAATTAATGCGACTAATATTTCATTAATTAATAGTTATAAAATTACGTGTTCCCTAAGAGAAATAATTTATGAGATAATCATATTAAGTAGGAAAAAAAAAAAGATTCAAAAAACTTAGATAACCAACCATTTTGAATATCCTAACTGTTTTATCGTATTTTACTATTCTTACAAGATTAGTGAATTGTGTTTTATATTTGGCTTTCTAAAAAGTGTTATTTACTTGTATTCATTGAAATTGGTGATAAAATTATAATTTTTACTTATCAAACATTTTAAATTCTGTTGAAGAATTAAAATTAATAAACTTAATTTAGAAAGACATAATATATTTTATTTTATTAAAAGCTTTGCCATGAAATGTTTATTCTCAAAATAACAAGTAAAAGATTTGACAAAATCTTGTTGAATTATTCTAGAATTAAACCTTTTGAACATTCGATTGTAGGTAGACCTGCAAACAACCGACGACCCGTACTCCAATCAATTCAATATTTGAAAATAAATAAAAATAATAATGCATTCTTATTGTATTTAATATATACATGCAATTAGAATATATTGGTATTGAAAAATATACGCATGCAATAATATTCAAGGTTTTCAATTTCATGTCAAAAAAAAAAATTATTGAAGATTTTATTTTTGTATAAACAATCAAAATTAAAGAATTATCTGTGGCATAATAAAATTCTAAACTTGTATTGACTTTAATTCATCAAGTAAACAAATTTATTTTAAAAATATTTTTGCAATATTTTCCCTTAAAAGTTTATAAAATAAATTTTTACTGCCGTGATAATGGAAAAAAAATATGTACAGAAGCTCAATGAAATTATAATAATTAGTAAGTAGTTTCTATTAATTAGTGAGTCTCTTTTTCCTTTGAAAACAATTAGGGAGTGAATGATATTAAATAAGAAAAATTAAAACTCTGCTTATGAGGAAGAATTTTCTATTAATTAGAAGGCAAAATTTTCATATTCTTCCTTTAAGAGAAAGAATTCTATGTCATATAACTATTGTTTAATCCATAATTACTATTTTTAATATTAATATAGTGACCTTTTTTGAAAAATTTAACGTTAAAATGGTAATAAAAAGAAGATGTTGATTGAACTTATACCAAGCACATAAATTCTTCCTCTTACTCAATGGAGTTGGTTGCTTCAACATTGCATTAACAAGCCACAAAAAAATTTTTAATTTATATTAACAACAAAGAAAGCCACTTGACAGCCACATTTCATCAACACTAACCCACCATTCTGGTGCTGATCCATCATGAAAATGAAAAAAGTCGCAAAAAAGGTTTAAATGCAGCGGTCAGTAACCTATCTTCTGGCTTCTTACCTGCAATGAACCAAAACTGAGTTTGGATTCTCTGTGACATTATCCTTCATAGTCAAGAATGTGAAATTAGTAGCAGCTTTTGCTCCATAGAGCAAAGCATTAATTTCAGAACAATAATTCTGTAAGTGGACCAGAAATCGATTATGTTAACTAGATAACTGGCCTCTCCCTATAATGCAATTGATCAATTAGTTCCACAAGCTCATGGGATTGATACCCCTTCACCAGAAAATCTATATATGGTAAGATTGCATTTTCCTCCTGAACACCACTGCATCTTAACAAGTCAGAGACCAAGTTTTGAGCCTGTTGGATCTTCCCTTCACCGTCTAGACCCTGAATCACTAGACAGAAAGACGTGAAAGATGGAACAAAACCATTATCAAGAATCAGCTTCATAAAGTCCAGGCAATAATCATATCTCTTTTCTCTGCAATGCCACTCGATGATAGATGAAACAGCCTTATCAGGGAAAAGACCAAACTTCACCTTATCCCGGATAAGATGATCTGCTTCGGCCATTCTCCCTTCTCTGCATAATCTTAAAACTAAAACATTGTAAAATTCTGCAGCAGATACACCACATCTCTCAATCTCATCTGCAAGTTCTGAAGCAAGCTCAACATCTATGTCCTTTAACATATGACTTGAAAGACAATCATTATCATTCTCATCTGAAAGTGAGCAATCAGCATCTAAATTAGCAGAATGAGTAAAAATTTGTGCTTCAGCATTCTTATTTGACAAAGAAAATCCAGAAAGCAGAGCAGAATATATGCTCCTGTTAGGCTGACACCCATTTTTAACCATAGTATTCACAATGTTAAGGGCACAATCCAACCTACCAGCATTGGCATGTGCTTTTACCAATGTAGTATACGTAATGACATTTGGAGGTACTCCTACATCAAACATACTGGAGAGAAGTGACTCAGCCTCCTGAATTCTTCCATTTTGGCACAAGCCATTAATGACAATTGTGTATGTATAGACATTTGGGGCACAACCAACCCGCTTCATCAACTCTAACATGTTTAAAGAACTGTTGATTTCACCAGCTCGGCATTGCCCATCAACCAATATTGTATATGTTACCACAGAAGGAACTAAACCATATTTTAAAATTTTCCCAAACATTGTATACTCCTCTTTTAACTTATTCTCTTTGCAAAAAACATCAACAAATAAGTTGAATGCATGAGAACTGTTCAAATATGTGTGATCCATCATCCATGTAAACAGAAGTAATGCATCTCTAGTTTTACCAATTTTGCAATACCCATCCATGAGAGCTGTAAAAGCTATTTCATCAGGGGGTATTCCACTCTTTGCCATCAAACCAAACAGAGCATTTGCCCACTCTGGTTTCCTATTTTTGCAAAGACCATCGATTAATGCAGTGAAAGTAAGAGCATCAGGCTGAAAACCAAAAACTTCCATTGACCTAAAAATCTTGAAAGCCACATCGAGTTGACCTTCTCTGCATAAGCCATCAACAAGAATATTGTATGTTACGCTATTAGGCGACAAGCCATTATCAACTATCCTTTTCAAAAGAAACATAGCTTTGTAAGATTTATTAACTCTGCACAGACCTTCCATAAGCTCATTGTAAGTGCGTATATTAGGCTTGCAGTTCCTTCTTTCCATCAAACCAATTATCTCAAAAGCCGAAACAATTCGTCCTTCTTTACAGTATCCATTGATTAAAGCGTTGTAAGTTATAATGCCAGGAGATAGCCCATCTTGCAACATTCTTCTAAAAATCCCATTGGCCTCCTCAATCTTTCCTTCTCTACACAACCCATCAATCAAAGCAGTGTAAGTATAAACATTAGGCTTACATCCATTTCTAACCATTTCATCAAGCAAACTAATAGCCTTGTCAATCAATCCAATATCGCACACAGCTTTAAGTAAGACACATTCTTCCTAACAAATCCAATTGGCCTCCTCAATCTTTCTTCTCTACACAAACCATCAATCAAAGCGAGTGTATAGTATAAACATTAGGCCTTACATCCATTTCTGGCTAACCATACTCATCAAAGCAAACTACATAGCCTTGTCAATCAATCCAATATCGCACACAGTTTTAAAGTAAGACAGTATTACGTTCGAGTAGTTGGCAACACCCTTCCTACTCTATCTCTTCTTTCATGCCCAAAAGCCCTTCGAATGCCTCCCGCTCTTCCACATAAACCCGATGAATGCAATGTAGAGTACGTCCACGAATTGGGTTCGCAGCCATCTAATCATAGAACATCTATTTCAAACACCCTGAAGGGTCACTGAATTGGGTTCGCAGCCATCTAATATAGACATTATTTCAAACACCCTGAAGGCATCAGACAGGAGACGTTCCCTGCAATAACCTAAAACCAAAGAAGTACAAATATGAGTATCTAAATCAAATCCAAGTCTCAACACCCTACATAAGAACATTTCACCAGCCTGTACATACCCATTTTTGCATAAAGCATTAATTATGGTTCTATAATCAATTCTACCAATAACAAATCCATCAGCCACCAGTTTTTTGTAGACCAAGAATGCTACAAAACCCATATTCACCTTAGCCAAACCCATTAATAGCAAGCTATAACAAGGGTAGTTCAGCCTAAATCCTACTTCTCTCAATTCATCAAGTGAACCCATCAGCTTCAACATATCATTCTCACTATTACTACACTCTTTAATCAGAGCAATTATGACCTTATGTGCAATCCCAAACATATTAGAGGAAACAATTAGGTTTAACAAATGGATTCTGCTGTCTATATCATAGCAATATGTAGATTGCTTGCAAACCCATTTGAAAAACCGAACGCCTAATTCAGTGTTGTTATTATGTAGCTCTATGATCTTGTGGACTGCAAATGGGGGCATATGAGATACCAGAGATTTGAGGTGGCTGTTTCGCTCCCAGTTAGGCTTGTTAACCAAAGAAGATACAAGATAGACTGTGCCTTCTACGGTTTCCGGGTTTTTCTGGTTGTAAGTAGATATTAAAGAAACAGAGGAAAAGATGAATTGAGAAGGAAAGACGAGAGGTCCAAAAGGGGCTTTGGTAAGTTTGGTTGTGTGAATCAACATGCAGAGCTAAAACTGTTCCAAGTTTGATCAGACGGTTTATAGAATTGGAAAGTGAGAACAGTAAAATTATTGAAAGAGTAAGCTGTAACTGAATGGATGAGACGAACGAACTGGTTTTGATACAGTAAACAAAAGCCATCAATTTGGACATTACGCTAAGAGGCTAAGCCATTAGCACTGTAGGTTCAAACTTTCTTCTTCCAGGATCTTCATTTCAATTTTAGTTATAATATAGCGTACGGTTTAATAAATAAAATATTGTTTTTATGAACCTAATTTAATATTTTTTTCATATAAAACTTTTTTTTCACCATTACTACTTATAAATAAATAAATATTTATATAAAATGTTAAAATAAAAGTAATATATTCATCTTTAAAAAATAATTCTATTTATTATATAATATCAACAATAAGCAATGATTATACACCGTAATACATAAAGCATATTTCAATAAGAAATTTAACTCGCATAAATAAAATTCCACATTTAAAAAATGGCAAAACAAAAGCCTGATGACCAACTAAAATTCGTTGTTTTACTTTGCTTTTTATGAATTTGAATTCCTGACTGATATTAGCTAGAGCATTATTTAACAGTGAGTTTTCGATCAAGAGAGAGTGTAGATTCGATGAAATAATATTTTATTTATTAAATTAGATACAATTTACGATTAGGATATTATTATAACTAAAATTGAAGTTTATGGTACTATAAAAAGAAAATTTAATTAAAAATACAATTAAAATTAAATTTAAAGTACAAATAAAACTAGTCGCATGAAAATTGTTTTAATAATTTAACCAAGTTAAAAAAGTCGGTTTTTTTAAACGCTAAAGTTACTTTACTCCATATGGACATCTTAGATTCAAGCCGGCTATTTTTAGACATTACCGTGGCCTTTAACTATGAACCATTTCTATTAATTTGGAATTAAGATCTAGTTGTTACTGTAATTAAATCTTCTTTCTTCTTCCTTATGGGTTGGCTGTAAAGGAAATTGTAAATTCAAACTAATATAATACTTGGCACTCCAATCATTTGAATTCTTTTAAACAACTCATTCTATAAACACTATATTAAGATTTTAAGAGAGAAATACAAAGGAAAAATGGACACCTAAAAAGCTCATAGCTCACACTTTTCACAGTAGAAAACAGTTCATCAATTGCAGGACTGTATATATTTATCTAATTCTCCACAATGACCTTCTTCCACACTTTTCACAGTAGAAAACAGGTTCATCCCAATTGCAGGACTGTATATATTTATCTAATTCTCCACCAAATGAGCTCCTTTCCAGTAGCCATGGCCCCGCAATACTCTTAGCTCAGGCATCCTTCAGCCCTTGCTCAAAGGCGTGGCTTTCCGGAGCTCCCGATAATTGTCTTAAGGTTTCCCGTTCCTTCACGCAACCGGTTTAACAAGCATGTAAAACTTACTCTCTTTAATCAATGGACACCTAAAAAGCTCATAGCTCACACTTTTCACAGTAGAAAACAGTTCATCAATTGCAGGACTGTATATATTTATCTAATTCTCCACAATGACCTTCCCAGTAGCATGGCCGTCAATACTCTTAGCCCAGGCATCTTCAGCCTTGCTCAAAGGGTGCTTCGAGTCGATAATGGTCTTAAGTTTCCCTTCCTTCACCAGTTTAACAAGATAATACATACTCTCTTTATCAATGTTAGCCCAAACAAGTGGCACCAGCTGCTTCTTCGAGAAAGTGAGTTTCTTCAGAGCACAAGTGATCATGGCATTGGGGCTAGGAGTAATATCTATAACGTTCCCATTTTCACTCAAATTAGGCTCGAAAGTACTCCAAGGAATACCAGTAGCACAGTGGATCACTGCATCATACTTCCGGCCAGATGGGGACTTCAGAGCTGCACCCTCTGGTGTCTTGTAATCGAGAACCTCATCAGCCCCTAAACTCTTCACTAACTCTATGTTGCGAGCTCCACAAGTGGCTGTTACATGTGTGTTTCCAAGCTTTGCTAGCTGAACTGCATAGTGACCCACGCCACCTGAGGCAGCAGTGACCAGAATGTTTTTCTGGTTGCCAGTTCTGTCAGTTTGATCCCGGCACAACGAGTGAGAGCCTCAAGAGCTGTAACACCAGCGACCGGTAAGGCTGCTCCTTCAGCTGCTGAAACTTCAGGTGGTCTTGCCACTATCCAGCTCTCCTAAACCACTGCGAACTCTAATCCGCCTCCATTCTGTCATCAGTATTACATGTATTACATATATGTAGCATAATTACCGAGATAAAACAAAAAAAATAATACCGATATAGTGGAGATCAATAATTTTAGAAATACGCCACAAGTATGCTTCCATCCCATCCAAAACTGTTTTTAGATGCAACTAAAAGATGCAAGCTCTGCGGAGCTTGTCATATTCCATTAAAAATGAGTCAGATTCAGTCCAGTATACAACAGTTGGACAATAAATGTATACACACAATAGAGATACTAGAGAAGGAGAGAACAAGTGAATGATTGAGAACTTGCAGCTTCGCCAAGCATAGCTACTACTTTATCACCAATTTTGAAAAATTTCACTTCTGGTCCAACTTCTACTATCTCTCCTGCTACATCAGTAGCTGTTGCAACAAAAACATTATCAGCAAAAAAAATTGACAAACAACTGAAAAAATATTTACAGGAAAACTAACAAATTATATGAAAGGTTTATGAGTAATTGGATGGTGCACCCAATAGAAGTGGATTAGTTTTATACACATGAGATTCTATGTAAATGATTTAAAATAGTATCGGCATAAAACATATATAGAGAAAATTTTGTCGAAGGATTGAACTTATGCTCAGAACTGAAAGAGGAAAATATCCATAAGTAAATTAAAGAGTGTTGAAGATGGGTTATTAATATAGCCAACAAGAGGAATTGATTTATTTACCAGGAATGTGAGGGAATCTACGAGGAAGAAAAGGCCGCAACACGCCTTGTTGAATTTTCCAATCAATTGGATTTAGACTGGTTGCTTCTAACTTTAGCAAAACCTCATCTTTCTTTGGAGTGGGGACTGGAACTTCAACATGCTGCAACAAGCAAAAAAACAGATTAAAATACTTGATTGGTAGTGTTGTTCCTGCTTAGATTATTTATATTTAAACCTCATCCTAGTATTAGTAATAATAATATCAGATCATACACTAACAGAGAGGAAGCAGCTAATTAATCATCTATAAGAGCATATTATGACCATAATAATTAATTTTAAAAAAATGATCAAATTAGAGGTGACCTTTAGTCCTGCTGCTCCTCCACCATAACCATCGTGTTGAACAGCATGCATTAGCCTCCTAGCCATCTCCACAAGAACTGATGCTGTTTGAAGAAAGAGTAGAGCGTTTGCATAAATATAAAGAAGAGGGAGAGAGTAGAAAAGTGGAAGTAGAACCCAAAAGCTGACTTTGACCTTGATGGGTTCTGCGTTGACCACTATGAACCATCAATTTCTCGTTCTGTAATGGCAGGGTATTGTGCAAAGACAAAAGCATCCCCAATCTCTAACAAATATCACTTTTGTACGGCTGGTCTAATGTAAACACGGACTCGCAACCTTTATTCAAATAAATGCTGCACCGGTTGAAGCATCAACATCAAACAACAGAGTCGAACAAGAAAATAATGAAATTCTAATCTTCATCATTTATATAAAAGCACTAAAGAGAAAAGTACAAAGCAAGATACACACACCATTGTCCTCTTTAAATACTATACAATCCATATCTCATCATCATCAAATACAATCCACACATCTTTGAATCTATGGTAATCGATAGTTTAGCAATTGAAGGACTATACTTTTATCTAAGGCTCCACAATGATCTTTCCAGTAGCATGGCCATCAATGCTCTTAGCCCAAGCATCTTCAGCCTTGCTCAAAAGGTGCTTCGAGTCGATAATGGTCTTCAGCTTCCCTTCCTTCACCAATTTAACAAGATAATCCAGCTTATCAGCCTTGGGAACCAAAAGTAGTGGCACCAGTTGCTTCTTGGAGAAAGTAAGTTTCTTTAGAGCGAAAGTCGTCAAGGCAGCGACACCAGGAGTAATATCTATAACCTTTCCAGTTTCGCTCAAATTAGGCTCAAAAGTACTCCAAGGAATAGCACTAGCACAATGGATCACTGCATCATACTTTCGACCAGATGGAGACTTTAGAGCTGCTCCCTCTGGGGTCTTGTAATCAAGAACCTCATCAGCCCCTAAGCTCTTTACTAATTGAATGTTCCGAGCTCCACAAGTGGCTGTCACATGTGTGTTACCAAGCTTTGCTAGTTGAACTGCATAGTGACCCACACCACCAGAGGCAGCGGTGATAAGAATGTTTTTCTGGTCACCGCTTCCATCAAGCTTGATCCCAGCAGCTTGAGTGAGAGCCTGGTGAGCCGTGATACCAGCGACTGGCAACCCAGCACCTTCAGCTGCTGAGACTTCAGGTGGCCTTGCTACTGTCAAGTTCTTCCCGGCCACTGCAAACTCAGCTAAGCCACCCCCATTCTGTCGGTAGCATGACATAAAATAATTACTAACAGGAAAGGAGATAAATATAGATGAAAAAATAATTAATATAAGCAATTTGCCACAATTTCACTTTCACCCCATCCTAAGCGTTTTCAGAAGAACTAAAATGATGTAAGCCACATTGACCAAGTTCCACTAAAAAGGAGTCAAACCAACTCCCATAAAAACGTTCAAAAAGAGAGGGAGAGACATTAACAAATATAAAGAATTGTAACAACTGATGATGGGTAAATTGCAAAAAAAAACCTGCATTCTTTGTTTTCAAGATCAACAAAAAGCATAACAACAAAGAAAGTGAGAGGAAAACATATTTCAATTTGGCTTCATCAATTAACTGGTGTGATAAGATCAAATTTCAAAGTGGTCAATAGCGTCAAAAACTAAACCACCATGATTTACAATTATGCAATCAATAACAAGTGGCACCCAAAACCAATACCTGCAGCAAGTAGTACATGGTTTACAGAATCTAGAAGCAGTAACCTAAGCAAATTAATTTGTAAAATGCTCTTATTCTTGGCAATCTTGCAGCATGATAAAACCTCATGAACTTCATAATGACTTTGACAAATTTGATTATCCAAAGGCTGCAGCTGATCAATGACATTTGGCATATGCCTCTCCATCTGATTGAAGCTGACACATCCAAAGAAGAGTTGCTTACCTTCACTTTTAGGACTGAGTTGCCATGAAGCAGAAAGTTTCACTAATGATAATTTATTTCATGATGAAGGTTAGTGATTTCACTGGTTTCCTTGCTTGGAAAATTTTGAAGATCCCAAGATTCGCCACTCCGGAGACAAGATAATTTGGCTATTGGTTGCCAAATGCTTGCAAGTGATTCATCAAATATAGCACCCCCTATGTTTTTTTACAAAACATGAAATCTTCAATTAATCATGACATTCTTATATCTTGCCTTTCTTATCTCAAATCTTTTTCCCCTCAACTGCCTCCCCTCTATTACTCATCCACATTAACTAACTTAAGCCACTTACAATTTTATATAACGACTTGATACTCCTAATCCATCATTACTATCTTAGAACCCAAGGACTAAGATGGACTAAGAAAAGTGAAAAGGATGGGAAACAATACAGATAACAATTAATCAATGATAGAGCACTCACAGCATGACTAAGCATGGCAACAACTTTATCGCCAGTTTTGAAATTGGTTACTCCTGATCCGACCTCTACAACCTCTCCTGCCACATCAGTACCTGTTGCACCAAAAAAAAACTCAGGAAAAAAAATTTTATCCCAAATCTCAATTGTTCTCAGTTTCAGGTAATATAATCAGTCAAATTATGCATAAGTTAATGGAACCCAAAGGCTAACAATACATGGGATTTTCCCTCAAATAATATTAGCAAAGTAATTGCAGCATGGGAAGCATTTGAAAGGGTAAATAAAATAAAATACCAGTTTAATTTGTCAATTTATAATGACCTTGTTAGTTAGTTTACAACTTTGAGTCAAATGTTAGATAGTTAAATAAGTTTTTAATAGTTGAGTTCTCCTTTCCTTCTTCCTTGTGCTTGTGTGTGTGCGTGCGCATGCATGTGTAGTCGACCAGCTTCCAGCAGACCTAAACAATATTAATGTAATCCGAGCTAAGAAATATTCTGCTGAGACACATATGTCATGTCCCCAATTAAAATAGCATATGAAATGGCATTATAGTAACATAACCATCAATGAAGATTCATTTACCAGGAATATGAGGGAATCTACGAGGAAGAAAAGGCCGCAACATGCCCTTCTGAATTTTCCAATCAATTGGATTTAGACTAGTTGCTTCCAACCTCAGCAAAATTTCATCTTTCTTTGGGGCGGGCACTGGAACTTCAACATGCTGCAACAAGCAAAAAGTTCAATTATACGAAAGTAACTCATAGTTGCTTACAAGCACTTTTAAATACTTGAATATGTGGTAAGAGTTCAAGAATTTACCAACCAACAATCATAAAAATATAATATATACGCCACATATCAAATAGTCAAGGTTAAACATCACTAAAACTTCATGTTAGCATTTTCTTTTGTTTAGGTGGGGCATGGGTTGAATTTGAATGATCATTTCAATTTGCTACGTGTCCACACTTCATTACCAAATGAGTCAAAACCTAGCCACTTTACCAAAAAAAAAAAAAAAAAAAAAAAAAAAAAAAAAAAAATTGAACAGGGTAAATAACATATAGAATACCAGTTTAATTTTGTTTCAATTTATAATGAACCTTGTCTAGCTTAGTTTACGAAACTTTGAGTCAAATGCTTTAGATAGTTTAAATAAGGTTTTTAATAGTTGAGTTTTCTCTCTTTCCTTTCTTCCTGACTGTGGCTGTAGTGTGTTCCGTTGCGCAGTGCATTGTGGTAGGCGACCAGCTGTCCGAGCGATAACCTTTATAATCAATATTAACTTAAATCGGACCGCTAAGGAAATATTATCCTGCTGAGACACATATGTATTGTTCCCAATTAACAATACGCATTATGAAATGGCATTTATAGTTACCATTAACGCTTTTACCAGGAATATGAGGGCAATCTACGAGGAAGAAAAGGCCGCAACATGGCCCTGCTGAATTTTCGCAATCAATTGAGATTTTAGACTAGATTGTTCCACACTCAGCAATATCATTCTTTCTTATGTTGGTGCGGCACTGGAACTTTCAACATGCTTCAAGACAAGCAACAGTTCCAATTATACGAAAGTAAACTCATAGTGCGTTACAAGCACTTTTAAATACATTGAATTTTTGTGGTAAGTAGTCTCAAGAATTTAACCAACAAACTCATAAATAAATATAATATATACGCCCACATACTGCAAATAGTCAAGGTTATAAACATCACTAAAACTTCATGTTAGCATTGGTCTTTGTGTTAGGTGGGCATGTGGTTGAATTTGAATGATCATTTTCAATTTTGCTAACACATATTTGCGTGTCCACACTTCATACCGAAAATTGAGTCAAAACCTAGCCACTTTACCAAAAAAAAAAAAAACAAACACTAAATAAAAAAAAAAAAAAAAAAGAAGAAAGTGCTAACCTTAAAAAAAAAAAAAAAAAAAAAAAAAAAAAAAAAAAAAAAGAAGAAAGTGCTAACCTTTGTTCAAGACAAATAATTATTTGAAATAATTGAGTACTTAAAATTGAGATTACACCAAAGTTATAAGATTTTTCACTTGGAACACAAATCAGATTCATCAATATATACATATTAAAATGGACTATTATGATAACAAATGATTATACAGTAACAAATCTTAGATGATCATATTAGTAATCACTCATTATAATAATTAACAAGCAGCTAATTAATGCCAAGTATGACTTAAAAGTAATTGAATTTAAAGTAAAACTGACCTTTAAACCAGCAGCTCCACCACCATAACTATCGTATTGGAGTGCGTGCATTAGCTTCCCAGCCATATCCAGAAGATGCGACGCCGTTTGAACACAGAAAGGATGGTAGTTTCCGGAAGAGATGGAAGAAGTGAGACAAGTAGAACTTAGAACAAATAGAATTCAAGAGCTTGTTTTGTGTTCGGTGTGGCTTGTGGTAACCGCTTGTACATATTGATTATATGGCACTGCTAAAATGACTTAAAAGACCCCATTTTCTAACAAAATAACCTCTTTTGCCGACATTGTTTTTGCCGCTTGTCTAATGCAAACGTGGCCCGACGATACAAATCCACGTTTCCAGGCGCGTTGCTCTCTCTTTCTCTCTCATGTATAATGTATTTACTCATTTTGCTTTTTTTTTTTTGGAATAAATTTACTCATTTTTCTTTATATATGTTTTTTTTAGTACAATCCATTTGGTTTTTTTTTAATATACTCTTATTTTAATTTGTTATAGTATTCATAATTTTCTTTAAATTTTTTGTTAGAGAGCATCAATTAGTGTGACATTATTATAAATATAAAGTTCATTATGAAAAATATAATTCTTCAAATTACATCAATTAATTCTTTACTCTTTCTAAAAATAGAATAATGCTATTTTTATATGATCAGGGAAGAGTGTAGGACAGCAATTCTTGGTTTCTAATCAATAAACGGATAGAATCGATTTATTTTGGTCGGATTCAGATAGTTATTTAAAAATTTTAGTTACCGATCGGTTTGAATATATAAAACCATTTAGTTTTCGATTTTTGATTCAATTACCATATATAACTAACTGAATTTATTTTTTAAACTCAACATAATTAATTTTATTTGAAATAATTAAATCTAACTTGACTTAATTCGATTTGGATTAATTATTATACTATTCAGTTCCAAATTCAATCCATAAAAATATATTCGGATGACTGAAACCAAACTGATTTTATTAGTTGAGCCGACTCTAAAAGAGTATATAGTAAAAATGTAATAATTAAAATAATAAAAATGGTACTAACGTTGCCCGTGCATGTGAATAGTTACATTTTTTTTATTATAATCGATTTGTATTAATTATTAATTACATATATATTTAATTATACAAATATTAAATAGGAAGTAATTAAATATTTTTCAACTCAATGCCATTGTCAAGCAAAAAACAACCCACCGACGAGTCTATCAGGAAAATATATTTGTTTAAGATGGTGTTCTTTTTATGATACGTTGCTTAGTGTTGCTACAATTGGTAGAGATGGTCTTTAATGGAAAGACCAAAGCTACGGATTAGCCAATGTAAAGGATAAAGATTTAGTAGATAATAGAGATTATTAGGATTGAAATTGTTAATAATATAGGAAAGATGCATGGTTATAGAAATTGATTAATATCTCTCTCATACAATTAAAATTATCAAGAAATAAATTATCTAATGTATCTAAGATCAATAGCTCGTTAATACTAATTAAAAACAACGAAATTATTACATCCATAAGATAAGTATCAAATCAATGAAAAATAAAATTAATTTTCACTTTTAATGGTTATCTTTTATTATAATTAGAAGGTCAGTAAATCAAATAGTTCATATGCCTGCTCAAGCTCCTAGTTTTTATATCTGATTCTATAAAATGGTCTATAAACTCTGTGGTAATTATTAAAAATGTAACTTTTTTTGATACTATGAATAATTAAACCTACATTTTAATAAAAAAAATAATCAAGATGACAATATGACATAATAAAGGATAAAAATGGATTTTCAAAGCCAAATCAATTGTTTGGGAGGATGGAAAATAGGAGAAAAGAAAATGTATTTGGTTTGTGAGATAGACTAGATACATTAAAAGGATAAAATATATTTTGATTATACTGTTGGTTTGATACGTGTTTCACCCATTCCTTCCTTCCATTTTGCTTCTTCCCATTAGAAGAGAATCATCAATTAGAAACGGATTGATCTCTTGCTAAATACGAATCGATTAGAAATGGATTAACAATAGAATGGAACTCAATTTAATATTAAACTTAGCAATGGATTAGAAACCGATACTTTAAAAATGTATTTTTCATTATTAAATTTCATGGGAAATTTAGGCGATAATATAGATACAGTTTAGTAACTGATTAAAAATAAAATTTAAAAACGGATTGCATATCTGTTGCTAAAATTTACAGTGAAATAGCAGAGGATGAAGAGTCGCGAATTAGACATGGATTTGCAACAGAATATAAAAATGGACGTTGAATTCCGACAACATTTCAATTACATTTCTTATTTTTTTCCTGTCTTAGAGAAAAAAAAGTTATTTTTTAGGTAAATTAATAATTTATTTTTTTATTAATTAGTTAATAAATTTTTAAAAATGTAAAAAATTGCGATTAAATTTATCAATTAATTCCATGTTAAGTTTTGTAGATTATTTTTATTATTTATTTATTTATTAACTTAGGTGGTTGTATCTTAAAAAAATAAAAACAAAAATCTTATTAACTTATATAAACCACAAACAAATTAAATTTTTTTGTTATTTTATATTTAATTTTTTTTATTTTTGAAAATAAAAATTATTTAAAAATATTTTGACAAATATAAATAATTTTCTTATAGTAAATAGTTTAGCAATTCAGGTACATTAATCGTATATCTGAGGCTTCACAACATGAACAATGATCTTTCCAAAAGCATGGCCATTAATACTCTTAGCCTCAGTTTTCGGAAATATAATTTTTACCAATTTGAGGAAAACAGCATAAGGGGAAAATAATTAATTAAACAACTTGCAATATCTAAAAGAAGTAAAAAAAATGATAATTCCTATCATTTATTATCATTATATTTACAATCCGAATTGATAAAAAGATAGTTTTTTTTTTTTTTTTAAAAAAAAAAAAAAAAAAAAAAGATAGTTTTTTTTTTTTTTTTAAAAAAAAAAAAAAAGCAAGGCTAATGAAACCCACATTGCACTAGGACTTGGGGTTATTATAACTTCCCATTATAACCTTCCCATTTTCGCTCAAATTAGGCTCAAATGTCTTCCAAGGAATACCTGTTGCACAGTGTATCACAGCATCGTATTTCCGACCAGATGGGCTCTTAAGTGCTTTCCCATCTGGGGTCCTGTAATCAAGAACCTCATCAGCTCCTAAGCTTTTAACAAATTCAATGTTACGTGCACCACAAGTGGCTGTTACATGTGTGTTTCCGGTGTTTCCGAGTTTTGCTAGTTGAACTGCATAATGACCCACACCGCCAGAAGCAGCAGTGATCAGAATGTTTTTTGGATCGCCGGTTTTATCAAGGTTAATCCCAGCAGCTTGAGTGACAGCCTGGTGAGCTGTGAGGCCAGCAACTAGCAATCCTGCACCTTCTGCGGCTGAAACTTCTGGTGGCCTTTCAGTTGTCAAGCTCTCCTTGGCCACAACAAACTCAGCTAATCCTCCCCCATTCTGCATCAAATGGTAGACAGTGTCAATTAATGTACAAACTAATGCATAATTAGAATTCACCATGATCTGCAAATTATATTAATGATCTTTTTTCTTCTTATCGGTTAATTTGCTCCAGCTACGACTCCAACTTGAAAGGTCACAATCCGGAGTCAAATCTAGTATCACTGAGTTAAAACTCATTAGTAGTAATGGTCAATTTTAAGGATAACATTGGTAGCTTTAAAGCATATATATCATGTAGCTATATGAGAAATGTAACTTCTGATTCAAACCTATTTCCTCTCTCTATTTTATTGAAGACAAGATTGTTTATTCTCTTCACTTCTTTGAAAAATCTGTTCATCTTTTTCCCCCTCTCCATACTGCAGTTTTTCATTCATACTGATTGATTTAAGACATGGAGCCAATACCAACTTTTATAGATGAATTTTCCAACTCTACTAATCATCTGACACCAGACACCAGTATCTTTGTATTTTTCAGTTTATGTTTTATTAAAGGGGAATGGTTCCATTATCATAGGAGTTTAGAGTATAGAAATTCAATTAAATTAAGAGGGGAAAGAAAAAACAGGATAAGACCATCACTTACTAAATGGTTAAGCACACCTATGACTTTATCTCCAACTTTAGAATTAGTAACTCCTTCTCCAACATCCACAACCTCTCCAGCGACATCAGTACCTGTTCTGACAAAAGTACAAACAAAATATTGACAAGAGATAAGGAATCTAATAAGAAAAAGAAAACCACAAAACTTCAAGAGATAATAATTACTTCATAGCTAAAACCAACATACAACATACAAGCAGACATGCATGTAATTTAGAATGTTTTACAAAAGAAATAACATGAAGCAATCATTCCCTTTGAGAGTTTAACTAGGAGTATTTACAAGGTTGTAATTGAACCAATTAGCATCTGTACTGCATCTTTTTCAAGTTTCTATTATCCAAAAGATTTCAATTTTCTCCAAATCAAACAGAAGTTAGGAAAAACAGTAATAATACAACGGCAAAATCACCAAACTCTACTCTATAACAGAGAATATTTCTTGCAAGTGTGATAGGTTGTGCCATAAGCAGGGCATTTTGATGAATGAGAAAATCTCTGTACTGATTCATTTTTTTTTTTTTTCATTAGCTATCAGAAATATTAAATCTTTTTTCTTAATGTCTGAAACAACCGAAAGCAATGTATCCAACGCTTTATGTCCATGAGCAGAGGAAATTTCCCAATTGATGTCTCAAATTCACTACAACTCTATTTAGTTTCCTTGACGAAGCCATCCATTTTCTTTTTCTTTTAAGCTTCCTACCCAATCATGAGTTACTACTAATTTGAAATTTCTCTTTAAACCTGAGATATCATCTAAATAATATTGTAAGTGCGTATATTAGGCTTGCAGTTCCTTCTTTCCATCAAACCAATTATCTCAAAAGCCGAAACAATTCGTCCTTCTTTACAATATCCATTGATTAAAGCATTGAAAGTTATAATGCCAGGAGATAGCCCATCTTGCAACATTCTTCTAAAAATCCCATTGGCCTCCTCAATCTTTCCTTCTCTACACAACCCATCAATCAAAGCAGTATAAGTATAAACATTAGGCTTACATCCATTTCTAACCATTTCATCAAGCAAACTAATAGCCTTGTCAATCAATCCAATATCGCACACAGCTTTAAGTAAGACACTATACGTTCGAGTAGTTGGCAGACAACCCTTCCTACTCATTTCTTCTTTCAGCCCAAAAGCCTCTTCAAGCTTCCCGTCTTCACATAAACCGTGAATCAATGTAGAGTACGTCACTGAATTGGGTTCGCAGCCATCTAATTTAGACATTATTTCAAACACCCTAAGGCATCAGACAGGAGACGTTCCCTGCAATAACCTAAAACCAAAGAAGTAAAAATATGAGTATCTAAATCAAATCCAAGTCTCAACACCCTACATAAGAACATTTCACCAGCCTGTACATACCCATTTTTGCATAAAGCATTAATTATGGTTCTATAATCAATTCTACCAATAACAAATCCATCAGCCACCAGTTTTTTGTAGACCAAACCCATATTCACCTTAGCCAATCCCATTAATAGCAAGCTATAACAAGGGTAGTTCAGCCTAAGTCCTACTTCTCTCAATTCATCAAGTGAACCCATCAGCTTCAACATATCATTCTCACTATTACTACACTCTTTAATCAGAGCAATTATGACCTTATGTGCAATCCCAAACAAATTAGAGGAAACAATTAAGTTTAACAAATGGATTCTGCTGTCTATATCATAGCAATATGTAGATTGCCTGCAAACCCATTTGAAAAACCGAACGCCTAATTCAGTGTTATTATTATGCAGCTCTATGATCTTGTGGACTGCAAACGGAGGCATATGAGATACCAGAGATTTGAGGTGGCCGTTTCGCTCCCAGTTAGGCTTGTTAACCAAAGAAGATACAAAATAGACTGTGCCTTCTACGGTTTCCGGGTTTTTCCGGTTGGAAATAGATATTAAAGAAACAGAGGAAAAGATGAATTGAGAAGGAAAGACGAGAGGTCCAAAAGGGGCTTTGGCAAGTTTGGTTGTCTGAATCAACATGCAGAGCTAAAACTGTTAGTTTGATCGGACGGATTATAGAATTGGAAAGTGAGAACAGTAAAATTATTGAAAGAGTAGGCTGTAACTGAATAGATGAGACGAACGAACTGGCTTTGGTACAGTAAACAAAAGCCATCAATTTGGACTTGGCGGCGATTATTTCCTCTTTTTTCAGTTTAACATGATTAAGATAAGAGGCTAAACCATTAGCACTGTAGGTTCAAACTTTCTTCTTCTACCTTCTTAATTTCAATTTTAGTTACAATAAAATGTTATTTTTATGTACCTAATTTAATATTTTTGCAAATAAAACTTCTTTTTCATCGGTACTTATAAATAAATAAATATATTTATTTATTTAGAATTTGCCTTGTCAAACCCTTATTTTTGAAAAACCGCAGACGCAATAACTCGCCGGAAGCATTCAACAGCCTCTTCTAACATTCAGCGTATTGGTGTTATAATTAATTATTGTACCAGACTCTTATTGACTCTTGTGGACTTGGCAAGACGGACTATACTTGGGCATCAGGCGGAGAGAGTGAGGGCATCGTGCGCGAGCATTATGAAGTATATTTAGAAAGATACCAGAAGAGATTTTGATGTATGCGGTGTAGGAAGAATTGCGTAGGCTCGGTATTGTCGCTGCTCGCAGTTAGACGCCTTAGTTATTACCGAAAGACAGAAAGAAAGATGTTAGCAAAATATTAACTGTGCCTTAATCTACGGTTCGGACGTTTGTGGCGCGCGTTATGCTGGAAATCATAGAATTTTAGATATTTAAAAGAAACATGAAGGGGAAAAGGATAATTGATAAGAAAGACGATGAGCGCTTCCAAAAGGTTTGGCGGGCTTTGTTCAAGCTTTGTTTGTCTGAATCTAAGCGATTTTTGCAAGAGCTAAATAACTGTTAGAGTTGATCGGGATCCACGAGACGAGAAATTATTACGAATTGGAAGTGAGAAACACACCAGTAAAATTATTTGTGAAAAGCACAGCTAGGCTGTAACTGCAATAGATGAGTTCCCCAAAAAACTATCTTGATATATCTACCGCCGAACTGGAACTGGCTTTGAGCTGTTTGATGCATTAACACTTAATTACGCAGGTAAACAAAAGTCACGAATCAGTGTTGCGTGACTCAATTCGGCGAAAAATATGTGTGACGCATTATTTCCTCTTTTTTCGCACAAGATTAACATTTGTAATATAGAAGTAAAATGACAAAGGAGTCTAAACCTATCATTAGCACTATGTTCGTAGATTACTGGCTTTTCCTTTCAAACTTTCTTCTTATCTACCTTCTAGTAATTTCATATTTTAGGTTACAATAAAATTGTTAATTTTATTATGCTTACCGCATAATTTTAATATTTTGCCAAATAAAACTTGCTTTTTCATCACTCGGTCTATATTTAAATATAAATAAAATATATTTATTTTTAGTGTTATCATAAAAATATTAAAATTAAGAGCTAATATATCTCATCTCTAATAAAAAAAATATATTTCTAAGTGCAATGTATTATGTATGTATCATAAATAAATAAATATATTTATTTATTTATATAAAATATTAAAATAAAAGTAATATATTCATCTTAAAAAAAAATAATTCTGTTTATTATATAATATCACAATAAGCAATGATTATTTAAAAATAAAATGACACCGTAATAAATAAAACATATTTCAATAAGAAATCTAACTTGAGCATAAATAAAATTCCACACTTAAAAAATGGCAAAATAAAAGCTTGATAACCAACTAAAATTCGTTGTTTTATTTGCTTTTTATGAATTTGAATTACTGACCAATATTAGTTGTTAAAGTATTGTTCAAGTGAGTATAGATCCGATGAAAACAGCATTTTGTTTATTAGATTGGATACAATTTACGATTGGGATATTATCATAACTAAAATTGAAGTTCATAGTACTATGAAAAAAATTTTAATTTTAAATACAATTAAAAATTTGATTTAGAATACAATTCAAACTATTCACATGAAAATTTTTTTAATGATTTAATCTAAGTTAAAAAGTCAGTTTTTTTTAAACGCTAAACTTATTTTACTTGTCATATGAAGATCTTAGATTCGAGCCAGCTATTTTTAGACATTACTGTGGCCTAAAAATAGACACCTAAAAAGCTCATAGCTCACACTTTTCACAGTAGAAAACAGTTCATCAATCACAGTAGGCATGGCCAAATTACGGTTCCGGGAACCGGAACCGTCGGTTCGAACCGGCCCGGAACCGTAACCGGAACCGGTGAGAACCGAAACGTGTTCGAACCGGAGAGCCCTGCGCAACCGTAACTACACAGGAAAGTCAGTGAGACCAGAAACCAGGCTGTCACGAACCCGAACCGGAAAATCACGCGTTCTCCCGGGATTCCTTGGTTTCCTGTTCATAAATGACGCACTCAAGGAACCAGAAACCGCGCTGGTTCCATGCAGAAACCTACCCTATATCATCTTCCCGCGTCGTAAACGGTACTTGGAAACCGCCGGTTTCTCCCGGCCGGTGTATAGAAAACCGCCTTTTTCGAACCGGTTCGAAACCGGCTAGCTGGTTCTAGGCCGTTGTAACTGGTCAGATTTTTGTATTTTTGTAATTTTTTGTTGTGTGAAATATATTATGTCTTAATACCCCTCCCAACAGCCATAAACGCGGCTAGTATAACGAACTAGTTTTAATGGGGTATTTTGGAAAAAAATAAAAAAAAAAATGCAATGTTTGGGCAAAATATATATCTGAATTTATTATTAGAATGAGAGAGAGTGCATCATTTTACATTTAACAAAATTCAATTGTTTACAAATAATAATACTCTATCTTTCTCTACTACTCAATTATTAGAAATAACACTCTCTACTTACTCTCTACTACAGATATACTGCACTCTACTCTATATATTTTATTTTCATTTATTTCATTTTCGTCTTATTTACTTCTACAATATTTTCTTATCATAGTATATTATTTTTCACTATTCATATTTATATTTGGTTTAATTCAATTTTTGCCAATATTAATATTTATACCTTATTATATAATGGCATTGTGGAGGGGAAACTCAAATATTCGGATCTGGTTAAGTTTGGCAACTTGCTGAAATAATATAAATTGTCTAATGGGAGAAGGTCAATCATACATCCTCAGTTCGCCCGAAGTCACCTTATATACAGAACTATCACGAGCACATTCCATCCTCATTGAATAATGATAAATTCAGTCCGTCTCAATAAACCACACCACAACCCAAATATTTAATTTTATATGAGTTGTAAGCTCGCCATTCTTGTGTCGGATATTATACTTCCCATACAATTGTTTGAGTATTACAACAATGTTGGATATTTATTCCCAACTCCGTGTGGCCAAACAGGAGTGAATCCGTAAATTTCCTTTTAAAGACCCATGTTCGATGCGCGCGTGAGATATATGCCCTATATATCGAGCGACAGAATATGGCAGGCAATTTCCCGAAAAAGAAGGTATGTTTAAATATAACCCCAAAGATCCAGACTGTCAGTCTTGCAAGTTCCTTTCTTAGAGCTAGCCCTCAGTTGTAATATTCCATTAGAAAGCTATGCTTTTTTTTTATTTTTTCATTAATAAAAAAAAATTATAAAAAAAAACTATCTTGTTTGGTCAAATATCGGATTGTTAAAACCGTCGTATATATATGAATCGTTGGATAACCCATCAAAAATAATATGATAGGAATTATTCATTTTTTAAAATAATCAGTACCAATTGTTCCTTCTCTGCTTTTACTTATTAGTAT